TGGTAACTTTAGAAGACCACTTCTGACTCCAGTTGTAGTGAGTTCAAGGAGACGTAGACGACGTAGTCGGAGGCACACTTATTTATTACACACCGGGGGAAATACACAACTCTTGAAGGAGTAGCGGCCCCTTCACCCGTCTAACAGGGAGACACCACTAGCGCTAATCCCGGCTAGTCTGCTCCCGAGTCCTCCACTAGAGAGCTAGGGGAGGCTAGCTGACCCGGCCCTGGTCAAGCTCGGATCTCGGCACCCTTAGCCAACCAGACCGGGTCTTACAATAGCATCGGCTCTGGGCTCTCAGGGCCGCGCCACTGGTTTTCCCTGGTCGGTCCTTAGAAGGACAGCGAGCCAGGGACGTCCCAGGGCCTATTCTGCTGGCCTTCGATCTTCACTGGTTAAGCTTCGATACTCTGCCCCGAGCCCACCGGCTCCCCGACTTATGTAGCAATTCCCCCCCGAGGGGTGGGGCTATGGGGGATCACAGCACCGCCACAGCCCCCCAGGGCTAACCATTGCGGACGTGGATGTAGGCACCCATACACGTGCGGGCGCAAACACCCCTTGTGTGTTTGTTTGCCCTCCCGTAACACCCCTACACAGGTAACAAGCTGAGATTAGTGTGCTCCTAATCTCAGCTCGTTGCCTGTATTAAAGACACCTGGGAGCCAGAAATCTTTCTGATTGAGAGGGGGGTCAAATACTTATTTCCCTCATTAAAATGCAAATCAATTTATAACATTTTTGACATGCGTTTTTCTGGATTTTGTTGTTGTTATTCTGTCTCTCACTGTTCCAATAAACCTACCATTAAAATTATAGATTGATCATTTCTTTGTCAGTGGGCAAACGTACAAAATCAGCAGGGGATCAAATACTTTTTTCCCTCACTGTATCTCTTCCACAAGGAAGGAATAATGCCACCATCGTTACCACTAGCGTTGCCCTATATCCTAGACAGTGTGCACTGAATTAAATAATGTAAGTATTGTTTGTTGTTGTTGTGTCTGTAAGCACGGGGTGTTGTGGTGCTGTGCCTGGCACCGTAGCTCAAGATGTAAAAGGTCTCAGTGGAGCAGACGGGCGTGCGTCTGTGTATCGGCGTGGGTAGCGGTAGTCTAGCGGTTAGCGTTATGCTGCGCTACGAACCTGGCAACGCGGGTTCGATTCCTGCTCACGGCCATCACCAGTGACAATTATATAAACCGGTCATGGGCTTCCCCTAGGTCGACTCAGCCTCAAATAAGTACCTGGTATGGTGTGTAAACATTAGCACTGGGGAGACAAAGGCGGCCGGGCGTGGTGTTGCCCACCCACCCCTGGCGTGTACTTCATCGGTGCTTGCTAATAGCGCTTGCGCCAATAGTTTGTTCCAGGTTATACGGGGATGTTTGTATTGTGTACACGGAGCCACTCATTCACTGAACACTACCATGTATGATGACGATGGTGAAGAATCGTGACAGGGTGGCAGCCAAGGACTAGAACGAATCCGAGAGGGCGCCCACTGAGGAGATTAATTGATAAAAAAAATTAACCCGTAAAAACAAAGTTTTTCACTATAAATCCTTTATATGCGTGGCATCGGTTTTATTTTATTTCTGTTTTTCTTGAGTAAGAGTTTCATTTTTATCACATTGGTATTTTAAATTAAATATGAACTTTTTTTCCTAAAAAGTGGAAAATGTAGGAAAAAAATTTTCACGAAAATAAATTGTCACGCACAACGAGTCTGTGTGCAAAATGTCAGCTCGATTGGATCACGGGAAGTGGGTTAAAAAACGACCGAAAGATTTGCACGGTCGTAAGCGCGCAAGCAAGCAAGTGAACTTAATATAATGGATTTCAAAATAGGCACACGTTTATTGTTGTTTGCTTTCGATTGGTTTACATTACATTCCATGACAGGAGGACCTTGCTGTGTTTTCAGTTTCTTACAAAGAGCAACACAATAAATTACAGTACGTGTTCAATGGGCCACAACCCAGCCCACATTGGTCTTTGAAACGGGCAGCTAGAGTCCTCTCGTCCTCTGGCTTGAGATGGCTGCCACCTATGGGTCAGATGATTGCCTGCCACCATTAAGCAATTGATAATTAAATATAATTGTTTTTTTCCTAAAATGTATAAAATTTTGGAAAAAAATTTCACGAAAATAAATTGTCACGCACAACGAGTCTGTGTGCAAAATGTCAGCTCGATTGGATCACGGGAAGTGGGTTAAAAAACGACCAAAAGATTTGCACGGTCGTAAGCGCGCAAGCAAGCAAGCGCGCAAGCAAGCAAGCAAGTGAACTTAATATAAAGGATTTAAAAATCAGCTCATGTCCAGGCGCTACACGTGGGTTATTACTCAAGTACTGTGTGTGGTTAATGCAGACTTGATTCCTTGCTAAAGGTTTCTATTTGGTAGTTGAACATCTTAATACAACTCCTGCTTTATTACCAGTAAGGGTAAAACCTATTCTTATTTTTCCTACTTTTATACTTGCAAAAAAAGGTCCCATTTTTGGAACTCTACTCGTCGTACGCCAGCCGATGCAGCCGTCCATTCTACAACTTCCCCAACGTTCACGGTTTTGTTTTGGAAAGCGAAACCACGAGGGCTCGGTTAGAGAAGAGAGATTAAAAAAGACAACCCACGCGCCACCCATTTGATGTGTTTGCGATTTAATTTGAAAAAAAAGGAAAAATGAAATGAAACGCCAAAACTCCTAGGTACAAACGCTCATTTGTCAAAACTCGCTTGATTCCCGTGAGCACGGCATGTAAAGCCACGTTTGCACACATGTCTCGTGCCGCGATCTCAACCAAACTTCCAACATTTTTGCTGCCGTTCTCTAAAATTTTGCATTCGCGAACATAATATTTTTTTGGTTTATCACGTAGGCTTTCGCGACCAATATCCATAATAGATGTTTTTGGGTTAGATCACGTGAATATATAAATATGTCGTTAAAACTCACAACCACCCGACACAGCCAACTAGTAAGGGTTGTCACGTAAACAAAACATGCCAATTCGTCACGAGTACAGCACACCGGTGTGTTGGAGAGCCAAGCCACAACATTTACAATCTGAGTACGACGTTTCGCCAGTAATTACAACTAACTTCATCAGGCAACATCCAGATTTGTGGAGAAGTCTTACTGTTTCGTTCTTTATATAGAGGCGTAGATGTGTTGACCACACTTCTGCGCTCTTGCACAATGTGGGGGGGGGGGGGGGGTGATTACTGAGGCAACGTACATTGTGTATGTCCATTATGCGAGCCTCACCATCCCCGCACAGAAATCTGCTCTTATCAAGACGCTCATTCATCGAGCTAAGAAGGTGTCAGATGGTGACAGTCTGGAAGTGAAATTCAACATGTTAAAGAAGCACTGCAAATGAACGGTTACAATGATGTACGAATCAACAGGGCATTGAATACCAAAACCAAATCAAATAACAAGAGCATTGAAACTGCCCAAGTAATTCAAATGATAAAAATATCATACATTGCGGGAGTAACTGATAAATTGGCCAGATGTTTGGAAAAACAAAACATCTGAGTCAGATTTGGCACGGTACATAAAATACAGAAATTAATATCTGGTACAAAATATGTATTACCGAAGCTATCAACAGAAGGTGTGTACATGATTAACTGCACGTGTGGTAAATGTTATGTTGGGCAAACAGGACGAATGATCAGCACGAGACTAAAATAACATTCAGAGAATATTAAATTCTCCCAAATACAACTGTCAGCAATAGCAGAACACGCGTGCCAACAAGGACACTCAATTCATTTTGATAATGTTGACGTTTTGTGCAAAACTAGCTACTACTGGCCAAGACGAATTAGAGAATCTATCGAAACTGAAAGACATCAAAATTACTTTAACCGTTCGGATAGATTTCCGACCGTCATCACCTAGCCAGTGAACTGGAACACGTACACCAAGCTCTCAGGATGAATGGATATTCAGACCACACAATCCGTAAATTTATCACCCCAACCGTTGGGAAAGAACCATCTGAGGACCCAATCAAAACCATCACCTTGCCATACATAGCAGGGGTCACAAAAAATATTTCCAAAATCATGAGCAAACACAAGATCCAGGTTCGATTTAACACAGTACATAAAATTCGTGATCTGATCCCATCTATGAAGGATGTGATCCCTGACATGCAATACCCCGGCATCTACAAACTAATATGTGTCTCCGGCAGTAGTTACATTGGGGAAACTAAGCGACATGTCTCGGACCGTGTTCGTGAGCATAAGGCAGATCTGAAACACGGTAGGACCAATACCTTGGCTCACACGAAATTGATTTCTCTAAGACGAAGGTACTTTTGAAGCCCACTGGCTATCAACAAAGATTCGTTCATGAATCCTCGTGCAATGTGTAAACATGACCACTGGGGAGACAAAGGCGGCCTACGTAGTTTCAGTTACCCCCTCCGTGTGCCGATCCGGCCTTCATAGGTGCTGCTCGCTAACAGCACTTGCCCCAACAGTCTGTTAAGGCTACGTGGGGGGTCTTTGTCTTTGTGTTGGCGCATACCAGGCTGAGCGTCATGCGGTCTGAACGTTCGCGCGTGCTCACCGGCGCACTGGATTCCGCTATGGGCTCCATGACATTGCGATAGGGGAATTTAGTTTTCATGCGATTATTGGTCTAACCGATTTTTTTCTTACTTTTAAAACCATAATAGCTATAAGCACCGTACGAATAAAATACAGTCAATCAAAATGAACGGCGAATGCTCGTGCAACATGCCTCATTAAATGAAATTAACCATTAATGGAAACACATTCAAGGAAAACATAGGGAAGTGACCCTTAACTTATCTCGCTGCACTTGCCTGTACTTTGAGATGCAGTCACAGGATGAGGTAACCCATGTGGCCTGTCGCACTCTCATGCCGCAGCTGTAAACAGCACACGGAATGGAAAACACATCGACGGTGATGCGACTCCCCCGTTGTTGTTGTTGTTGTTGCAGCCCACTATGGCTCGCAGAGGGCCCAGGAGGACTGGTGGGCCTACAAGGAAGTGGTGCAGGGGAACTTCATACCCGGTAAGAAGCGGAGAAGTAGTTTCGCTGAAGCCATAATAGAATAGACGGGGTGGGTTTTTTTTGGGTTAGATCGCGTAAAATATAAATGTGTCATTAAACACCGCCACCACCCATATTGGGCTTCCAATAAGTCTTGTTCATAGATAATAGAGAATGTTTCGACATTAAAGCATTATTGACTTTTAAGTGCTATGTTGCCGGAGTGGTGGTGCGGCAGCGGTGAGTGCACCGCACGATACAAACCAGCGGCCTGGTCATGGCTGACATCTGTGAGGGAGCGATGTCTGAACCTGTCTTGGGCCTCCCCTTAAACTCACATGACCTGCACGGTGAAGTATGGTCAAACTTTTTCCCGTGACCAATGGGGCACGGAGAGGCCTTCATCAAGCCGTGGTTTTAAGGAACTGTAATAAATGTTATTATTTGAATAGTATTATTGTTATTATTACTACTACGTTCTATTGCATTTAAAACAATCAAAACTACGATTTAATCGTCATCCAATGGATATTTAATACCGAAACAGAAGTAGGATTTCTCCATAATTCTGGCTGTCGCCTTATGATGCTGGTTGTTGTTATTGTAGTAATTACCGGCGAAATGTCACGGTACTCGAATTGTAAATGTTGTAGTGGGTTTACTCTCCAACACACAGCCAGTGTGATGAACTAGTAATAAATTAGCGTGTTTCTTTACCTGACGAACCCTACAAATTGGTTATTTCTGGTGGTGGTGGTGTTTAACGACACATTTATATTTACGCCATCTAACCCAACAGAAACCTTTATTGTGGATAATATTGGTCACAAAAGCCTACTCCGTGTTAAACAGTTTATCTTAGCCCATCCTCTAGATCATGACTTGTAATCTTCTTCCTCTGTGTTAATCAGATTCATCCTCTCTCCACAAAAAAACTTTCCCAGCACAAATTGCAACTGACAATGCTGGCTTATTATGCAACCTTATATAACGTGAATGACAGCAATGCCCATATTAACATACCCTGCTGGATATCTAATAGCTTTTAATAAAATTCTCGGACATCTGCATAAAACAAAAATTTTCCCTCACGAATTTGTATCACTTTGCAAAGGTTATGAAAGCAACGCGCTCACGCGCCACAGCCTTTGTTCAGCTCCGCTTTGCAGTTCGTGGCGCCAATAATGTGGGAAATTATTATTTTGTTATTCCTTCACGATTTAGTCGCTTGCGTGCGTGCGCAGCAACCGCGCTTCGTTTAAAAGTGCGCCGACGATGCCGTGAGAGTGAATTCCTGGGCGTGGCTGTGCAAAAGTTGCGAAGGACTAAAGCAATAGCAACAACAACAAAAATACCGATGGGTTTAATTTGTCGCTGCCTCGAGAACGCGAGGGCGGAAGTATTCGGTTGTTAAAGTAAAACAAAGCGACTTGACTTGTTGCGTATTGCCGGGGGAATAAAGTGTGTGCATTAAGAACCCGCTCGTCCTGCGCTCATTCTACGGCAGTTTAATAGCAGCCTCGTTTTTGCGGCGTCACCGAGCGCGGGAAGTATCCCTTGCCCTCTTTGTGTTTCTCTTATGAATTACCTCTTGCCTTTGGTGGGCCTATAAATTACCAATTTGGCGTGTGCAGTGCAGGAGTTGACAGGGCCCTTTGAAATTGAGTCCCAGGTGAAAATTTAGATAATTTTTCATTTTTTTTATATATATAAAAAAACGGATTAATCAGTTTCAGCTGGGTAGTATTAGTCTGGGAAAGCCAATACGCAGGTGGATTAAAACTTTTGTGTTTATCTTATTTTAATGGAATTTATAAAGCGCCTTAGTGAAAATGATGACAATAAATGACGATGAATGGATTGAATGAATGGGGAATGAGTGATAGTCGTGTAAAGGGAATATGAAGAGGGGCCAGTAAAGGTGGTGGTGCTCATGAGGGGGAGATTAAGGGGGGGGCGGGTCGTGGGGGTGAGCAAGGGGTAACAAGAAGTGTGAGTTTTGAGTGCGGAGCGGAAACTAGTGAGCGAAGGTGACCGCTTAACGTGGAAGGGGAAGTTTATTCCAGTGAAGGGGGGAGATGAAGAGAGAGCGCGTGGGTTGAGCACGAGGAGAAGGAGGAACAGAGAGAGACAGCAAAGATTGAGACCGTAGTGTGGGAGAAGGTGACGTAGAAAGTCACAGAATAAAGTTGTGTGTGTGTGTCTGCTTGGTGGGCAGCGCTAGTGCAGCGGTTAGCATGCCGTGCTACGAATGCGGTGGCCCGAGTTCGATTCCCGCTCATTGCCAACAAAAATTACGATTATCTAAACCGGTCATGGGGCCTCCCCTATGTCGACTCAGCCTTAAAGGAGTGGATGGGGCACCCCTGGACCAATTCGGATATCACTCGTGTAGGAGGCATTTGTGGAACATTCTCGCGCGCGCAATCTAATCGTTACATGACATGCGAGAGCGTCTCAAGTGCACTCGTGACGATTGAATGCCGAGTTTATTTTGCTTGCTGCTGCCCAGAGAGTTGTGAGTGCTTTAGTTTCCGGCGATTCTTCGGTGATCTGTGCAGGGAATTTGCTAAGTAATGTTTTCTTTGAAGTAGACAATAAAGACCATTTGATGTCAATTTAAATAGCAAACCAGCTGGGACTGCATTGCCAGTGGCTTAAAAACGCGTGCTTAAAAACATTAGCATCGTTTCCACTAACGTTGCTCTATAATATAAACATTGTCCACTGAATTAAATAATGTAAGTATTAAAATTGTTTTTTTACCCTTCTATCAGGCAACAAAACTGACACCTTTTTTACAAGGAGTCATGTTTGCATAGACCACAATACTTGCAGCCATAATGCAAACAAAAAACATAACTCTGATAATATATGCACTTCAAGGACAGTGCATATATTATCAAACTTATGGTGTCAGTTTTGTTGCCAGATAGAAGGGTAAAAAAAAACAATTATCATATGTTTTACTGGCAAATAAGGTTCCAGTGGTGTAAATGCTTTCCCCGAGCTCTCATACTCTGATGGTGCATTGTCCTTGAGTTGTGCGCCTTTTGGCGTCATCTGGTCCAACCCATGTGAGACTAGGCTCTAAGGAAAGCTGTCTCGGGTGTGGACCAATCAACTTCAAGGACAGTGCATATATTATCAGAGTTGTGTTTTTTTTTGCTTTATGGCTGCAGGTATTGTGGTCTATGCCAACATGACTCCTTGTAAAAAAGCTGTCAGTTTTGTTGCTAGATAGAAGGGTAAAAACCAATTATATTTTTTACTGGCAAATGAGGTTCCAATGGTGTAAATGTAAGTATTGTGTGTTGTCGTTGTTGTGTCTGTAAGCACGAGGCATTGTGGCGCTGTGCCTCGCACCGTAGCTCAAAATGTAAAGGGTCTCCTCAGTGGAGCAAATGGGCATGCGTTTTTGTATCGGCGTGGGAAGCGGTAATGGTTAGCGCTATGCTGCGCTACGAACCTGGAGACCCGGGTTTTATTCCCGCTCATGGCCAACACCAGTGACGATTATCTGAACCAGTCTTGGGGCCTCTCCGAGGTTGACTCAGCCTCAAATGAGCACCCGGTGCGGTGTGTAAACATCGCCACGAGGGAGACAAAGCGGCTGGGCTTGGTACTGGCCACCCACCCCTTCTTTTGCCGTGCCGGCCTTCATAGGTGCTCGCTAACAGCACTTGATACAACAGTCTGTTAAGGCTATTTTTGTCTTTGTAGGTATGTTCATGTACACGGTAGTGTAGCGGTTAACGTACTGCACTACAAACCCAAAGACCCGGGTTCGATTTCCGCTCACAGCCAACACCAGTGACAATTATCTGAACGGTCCTGGGTTCTCCTGCGTCGAATCAGCCTCAAATGAGTACCTGGTGCAATGTGTAAACATCGCCACTGGGGAGACAAAGGCGGTCAGGTGTGGTGTTGGCCACTCACCCCCTCCTGTACTGTTCCGGCCTTCATGGGTGCTAACAGCACTTGCCCCAACAGTCTGTTAAAGGCTACCTGAGGGATCTTTGTCTTTTGCCCGCCTTCACCATCGCCGTGGGGGGAGTGGGAGGCAGTGGCCCTGTCTCACACTCACCACATGATCTAATTTGCAGAATTACCAAAATAACGTCACATCTCAGAAAACTGCACAATATATATAGTGATATCATCCAAACTGGAATCAAAATGAATTTTAATAAAGGAATCTTGCACTGGGTCTGTCTCCGTTGTCCTTTATTGTGGTTCTTACAACTTTGCCCGCACGGCGTCTCGCTCAGAGTCTCCTCCGTCTCCCGCTCGGCAGCCCCACTGCTGCCGTCGCTCCCGCAGACTTGCTGCTGGCTCCCAATGCAGCCTCGCTGCTGGCTTTTCACTCAGCCTCTCTGCCTCCAACCTGCAGCCCCACGGCTGCTCTCTATGCAGCCCCGCTGCTGGCTTTCCACTCAGCCTCTCTGCCTCCGACCTGCAGCCCCACGGCTGCTCTCTATGCAACCCCGCTGCTGCTCTCCTGGTCTCCTCCGTGCCCGGACACCGCTGGCCAACGGTGCCGAGTCCCGACCTGTGGCGATCACGCCACTTTCCACCTCCTGCCCTGCGTGGCCTCCTCCTGTCTTTATTCCCACACTCTCCTCCCGCTCTTCCGGTTCCTGCCTTTAAAAGCACTCCCTCTCCCTACGTGACCCAACTACTCCCACCTGTTACGTCATATCCGCGAGGCCGTTTACGCTCGCATTACACCACCCTCCCCCATAGAGAAAATTCCAGCCGTCCTCGGCTGAAATAAACAAGCAACGACGATGGTACAACCAGACGCTAGCGATCATGTAACCCCTCCCTCCACATCAGCAGTCCGTCGCGGAGAGCGGCCCCCGGCGTCCCCCCGGGAAGCAGTCCCCCCCCTCCCTTTGCAGCCCGACTCCGCAGGGTCCCCAACGAGTCGTCCAGCATTTGTTCACGGATCCACACCGCTCGTGGAAGGTTCAGAACCCCATCGGCCGGTCCCGGGCACACTGGAGCCTCAGGCATCT